AGACCCGAAACGTCAGCTTTCCTGCTCCTCTGATGCTGTTTGGCATGCTGTGTTCATCCAGCTCTACACCGTGTTATCTCTGACAGGTGAATGCACCCAAGGGGTGCAAATCATTCCTTCAAAACTTCAGAATATATCCTCACAATCCTATATTCAAATCAGATTAAGGAAAACAGATCATTGTGTACTATCAGTGGCTACTTTATTAATTTGCATTTAGAAAATTGTACATACCGTTAACATTGCAGGCATAAGGAATAATATTATTGGTCACTACCTTAGAAAAACATGCAGCAAGTAATGATCCTGGGCCTCTGTAATGAGAAAATCATCATTGTGACAACAACTATTCATTCAGTTTGAGAAGTTTATAGTAGACAAGGAGGCAAGTTATATTTTGTGGCTTTTATGCTGTCTATTATCCTTGGTTGAGGTTCATAAATAAGTGGATATTGCAAAGCAGTACATTTATATAGTTACATCCTTGAGGGACCTACATAGAAAAACTGAGGGTAGTGAATCACCGTTGCCTGCTCTGGCCCAGCACGTCAAGCACAAGTGCAGCAAAATCCAACAATTAAACAAAGAATCCATGTCACTAATATGAGATATTAGTGTATATATAGTCTATCTCTCCAAATCTTGAGTTATAAACAAACAGACAAATTAATTTAACTTTAAACAGGTCAGAAGTATTCAGTAAAAGCAGTATGTTTCTAATAGCTATATCCTTGACTGGCCTACATGGAAAAATTGAGGTCATGAGCCGTTGGAACTCTCTTCCTGACAAGATGGTGTAAGCAGGGTCCTGAAATATTTTTAAGGCAGAAATAAATGGATTCTAGTTAAGCAAGGCATAAAAGGCAATGAGAGGTAGATGAGGATGCAGATTTGAGATTACAATCAGATCAGATATGATTTTATTGAATGGCAGAGCAGGCTTGAGCCAAGGTTCATTCCGCACCTTGTTCGTATTGTTCATATATTTGTAATAGCCCTCTCACCCTTAATCACACAGTGAACCTTGTCTCTAAATCCCCATGAACATTATAATGTGTCAATGCAGTATCGGCATCAAGAAACAGTCTTGACCTTTGTTATCCAATCAAGAGGGAAAATCCCATTCGCTGCTTCACCATGGTTGTAACAAGGCTGGTAACAATCCATTATAATACATAACACAATTAGTCTCAATAAAAAGTGCTAGAGAGCATGTTGGGAGCAACACCAGGCAAATTTTAAAATGAGGTCCCAAGCTGGTGAAGCTACAATGTAGCACTACTTGCATGCCAAGCAGCATAAGGAGAATTGGTAGACAGAGCTAAGCAATGGATCAGATCAACAGTCTGCAGTTCTGCCATATCCAGTCATAAATGGTGTAAGACAATTAAACAGCTCACTGGGGAACAGGCCCCCTAAATACCTTTATCCTTAATAATGAGAAAGCCCAGCACATCAGTGCAAACAACAAGGTTGAAGCATTGGCATCTTTCAATTAGAAGTGCTAAGTTGACAATCCATCTTAACCTCCTCTTGAAGTCTCTCACATCATGGATGCTAACATTCTGTCAATTCGATTCGCTCTACATTCCATCAAGAAATGGCTGAAGCCATGTGATACTGCAAAGGCTACGGGCCTTGACAACATTCTGCCAGTAGTGCTGAAGACTTGTGCTCCAGAACGAGCTGCACTCCTAGCCAGACTGTTCCAGTCGTTACAATCTTGGCATCCCACCAGTGTAGAAAGTGCCCAGGTTTGTCCTGTCCATACAGAAAGTAGGACAAATTCAACAGGACCAATTACCATTCAATCAGTCTACTTGCAGTCATCCACAAAATGCAGGAATGTGTCATTGATGGAGATATCAAGTGGCCTTACTCAACAATAACCTGCTCACTAACACTTAGTTTGGGTTCTTAGTTTCAGACAAACTAAGCTTATAAGTTCATTGCAACCTTGATCCAAACATAGTCAGAACAGCTGAACTGGAATGGGTGACTGCCTTTAACATCTAAGTAGCACTTAACAGACTGCATTATCAAGGAACTCCAACAAATCTTGAGTCAATGGAAATCAGGGAGAAAACTCTGTTTGTTGGAGTAATACCCAGCACAAAGGAAAAAGGTTGTATTTGATGCAGGTCAATCATCCCAGATACAGACCATCACTGCAGGAGTTCCTCAAGGTAGTATCCCAGGCCAACTATCTTCAGCTGCTTCAACAATGACCTTCCCTCTACCATAAGGTCAGAAATGGGGATGCTTGCTGATGACTGTGCAATGTTCAGCAATATTCCTGATTCCTCAGACATTGAAACAATCTGTGTCCAAATACAGCAAGACATGGATAGCGTTCAGGTTTGGGCTGACAAGTGGTAAGTCACATTCATGCCACACAATGCCAGACGATGGCCATCTCCAAAAAGAGAGAATCTAAAGATTTCCCATTGACATTCAATAGCATTACCATCATTGGATTCCCCATTCGCAATATCTTGGAGGTTGGCGGTGACCAGAAACTGAACTGGACCAGCCAGTGGGCAGCACAATGGTTAGCACTGTTGCCTCACAGCTCCAGGGACCTGGGTTTGATTCCAACTTCAGGTGACTGTGTGGAATTTGCACATTCTCACTGGCTCTGTGTGGTTTCCTCTGGGTGCTCCGGTTTCCTCCCACAGTCCAAAGAGGTGCAGTTTAGGTGGATTGGCCGCGCTAAATTGCCATAGCGTTCAGGGATGTGCAGGCTAGGTGGATCAGCAGGGTTACAGGGATGCTCTTCGGAGGGTTGGTGTGGACTTGATGGGCCAAATAGTTTGCTTCCACACTGTAGGAATTCTATGATTCTAAATAAACACTGGCTCTATTCGAGGTTACAGACTGAGAATTCTGCGTTCATTAACCCACCTCCTGATTCCTCAAAACCTGTTCAATATCTACGTGGCACAAGTCAGCAGTGTGATCTAATTCTCTCCACTTACCTGGATGACTGCAGACCCAATAACATTCAAGATGCTCTACACCACCAAGGACAAAACAGCCCATTTGATTGGCATCCCATCTAACACCTTCAACAATCTCTCCCTTCACCACTGATGTACAGTGAAAGCAATGTGTGTCATCGACAGGAAGCAATGCCACAGCTCATCAAGGCTCTTTAGACAGCACCTTCTAAACCCCCAAATTCTATCATCTAGAAGGATCGAGCAGATACATGGGAGCACCACCACCTACAAGCTCCCATTCAAACAATACATCATCCTGACTTGGAAATATATCACCACTTCTTCACTAGTCTGGGACACCTTTCCTAACTGCTCTGTGGGTGTCTCATCATCCCAAGAGCTGCAGTGGTTCAAGAAAACAACTCATTATAATCTTCTCAAGGCCAGTTCGGGATGAGCAATAAATGCTGCACTGGCCGAAAATTCCCGCTATTCATTAATGAATTAAAAATTGCTCAGGCATAACTAAAATATTTGTTATTTCAAATTAATTACTTCATGAAAATAGTTAATCTTGGGAGGGGCCACTTAACATAGCCATTCTCCTGTTCAATTCAAGAGGCTCTTAAATATTTAAAACAAAATGCTTTATTAACCCACCTTGACCTCAGTATGCTTAAAAGTTTGAACTAGAAGGAGGATGCTAGCTGTTTGGAAATGGAGGAATAGTTACACAGAATTAAACTTCAAAGGCCAACAGTTTTCAAAGCCAATACTATTACAGAGTTGACATAAACAGACAATACATTTATTTTTGTGGTACATCAAGAGATCCTCAAACAGTGTGATTCAAAACCAAAATGTATAATAAGCACTAACTGCAGAATCTTCCAAACACTTCATGGGGAAGAAATGTAAATTGAGAACTGAGATTGCTAGCAGTGGATCCCCAATGGAGATTTTGGAGGCACCTTCCACATCTGGATGGCCAAATGGATCCATCCAGCAGTCAAAGTTCAGCAGCCCCACTGTCAGAGGTAAGCAGTGTTGAAGTTTATAGGTGGGACACAAAGGAGACTCCATTCCTTGTTGTTGGCCACAAATTGAGGAGAAAAGAGGGCCAAAAGGGCTAGGGCCTTCCAATGTGCCTGAACAAAAAAACCCTGTGGTTGCAGCTTTTGATTATTACGTGAAGCCTAGACTATTGAATGGAATATTCAGATCTGAAAGCTACCTGGCGTGCAGCTAGGAAGCCTCCATCCTTTCACAGAGAGCCTCCTGGTTTAATAAATACCCTGTGCACTGGCTGAATGATCCAAACCTAGTCAGAAGAGTACCCTTAAATAAGTGCTGATTGAGAATACCTGGTTATTAATTGTGCCCAGTTAGGTACTGAAGTCCCATTATCACCCTGGCTAAGCAGAATCCATTTGGGTCGTTTCCCTCCCATTTTTAGGCCTGCACTTCCAGATCCAGCTCTACAAACCCCTCAATGTGTAATTCCAAAATATAGTTAATGCATTAATATCCAATTCAAAGGAGGTGGAAAGAATATGGCTGGTTACAGCAGCTAAATATAAGTGTCTTACTCATGCTTCTTGTGGTAAATATGGTATGCCAGGATAATAATATAGCTCAGGAACTTCCCCAGCAACAATGTATCAAATGGAGAGTGAGTTTCCTCCAGTGTAGTAAATTTTCCTGCAACAATCAAAAAATTAACAGCTTAATTTATAAGATTTTTTGGAGACTGCTTAACATATTATAATGTTAATATAAAAATTAATATCTTTGAATTCATTTTAATTCATAACACCACACAGTTCATGAATTCAGATCTAATGAATACAGAAACCTTGATTCTCAGAGAGGAAAATAAAAGGTTCCAGTACAGTCTTTGTAGATTTTGTTTGAATTTTAGTCTTAATATTTTATAAATATTGATGGATATTTACACTTTAATTGATACCTTAATCCGTGCTGTTGGATGACAACGGGTCGCAATATGATAGGCCACTTTCCTTTTCTCCCTTTCACCTGTGTCATAAATTTAATTCCCATAGGGTTAGAATCTAGGATGGAATTTTATAAGGATCTAAACAAGAGTTGCAGCAGAATCAGATGAGATGCCTGGCAAAGGTGGTTTTGACATCATGAGTATCTCACACCATCTTTTACAGTTTCCACAAGTGGTATGGTGAGTTTCTCACTAGGCAGCAATGAGGTACAAAATTAAGGGGATTACTGCTTGTTAAATGACCTGATTTGCCTAATTAATATTCAGCTATTTTAGCAAACTTGCCAAATGAGAATTAGATGTAAATATTGAAGGCATGGTTAGTACGTTTGTGACGACACCAAAATTGGTGGTATAGCGGATAGTGAAGAAGGTTATTTAAAGTTACAAAGAGATCTTGATCAAATGGGTCAATGAACTGAGGAGTGGTAGATGAATTTAATTTAGATAAATGCACGGTATTGCATTTTAGTAAAACAAACAACGGCAGGACTTATGGGTAGTGCTGTACAACAGAGAGGCCCAGGGGTTCAGGTACATAATTCTTTGTGTCACATGTAACAGAGTGGTTAAGAATTTTAGCATGCTTGCCTTCATTGCTCAGACCTTTCAGTATAGGAGTTGGGATGTCATGTTGAGGTTGTAAAGGGTGATGGTGAGGACTCTTCTGAAGTACTGTGTCCAGTTCTGGTTGCCCAGTTGTAGAAAGGATATTATTTAGCTGTAGAGGGTTCAGAAAAGGTTTACCAGGATGTTGCTGGGAAAGGAAGGTTTGAGTTATAGGGAAAGGCTGGATAGGCTGGGACTTTTTTCACTGGAGCATAGGAGGTTGAGGGATGACCTCATAGACGTTTATAAAATCATGAGGGGTACAGATAAGGTGAATGGCAGGTGTCTTTTCCCTGGGGTGGGGGATTTCAAGACTAGGGCACATACTTTTAAGGTGAGAGAAGAAAGATTTATAAAAGACATAAGGGGCTACTGTTAGCCAGAGGCTGCGGAGGGAGAGAGAAAGGTACAAGCTGCTGACATCACTGCCTGGGGAGACATTAGCCAGAGGCTGCAGAAAGATAACGTGAGATAGAGAGAGAGAGAGAGAGAAAGGGGTACCAGCCGCCGAGATCACTAACAGGAGGTACTGGACGCAAAAGTGCTGACACGAAGAAAGAAGCAGCTTGTGAACTAAAAATGATGTGTTCAGATGCTAGTTTGAGCTGCTTTAAACCGGTTTGAATAAACTAAATTCTGCAAATAGTAAGAAAGATGAGGTAACGCAAAAGCCTTATTCGGACAAGAAATAATGAGGTAATGCTACCTAAGTCTCTGGGCCAGCACCAATAAGGTAAAGGCATGCAATAAGTGAATTAGCCCAAGCAAACGGGAAGAAGACAGCACGACTTGAGAAAGATAGGAGAAAAAAGTAAAAAGAAGATTCTTGGGGCATGCAGCCAATGAAAACTCCGGAGACCAACCATTGCAGAATCAGACCCTACGTCAAAGACGCGGTGATGACGTCGAGTGCAGCATCCGGCCAGCGTCAGCCCATGTGAGTATGAAAAGCTATCCTAGTCAGGTATTAGCTTTTATATTCTGCAACTACTTGGGGAGTGTCATAGGACTCTAGTGGGTATATAAGAGGTCCTAGTTCAGTTTGTGGGAAAGTATATAAGGTCTAGTTTTGATATGAAAACGTGTCTTGTTTAATACATTAATAAAGTAATTTGTAAGGTTATGAGAATTGACTCTTCTCCTCTCTGTACAATCTGATAACCGGAGCCTGTGTTCTCCTGGCTCTCGACAACATATTATGGTGCCGTGACTCAGATCCAAGAATAGATCTCTCCGTTGAGTCAGCAGGAGACTCGGGTCAGACCAAGCGGGAGTTTTGGATTCAAGGGAAGACGTCTCTGCTGTGTCAGCAGGGGGCATGAGTCAAACCGAATCAGCAGAGTACAGAGAGAATGGGAGCTTGGGGTTAATCCGTAGCCACCAGTGTACAATGATGAATGAGGAGAGAATGGACTGCCCTGATTGGACAGGGCAACACCAGAAACACATAATAGGGAAGTGGCGGCAATGCGGTCACACTAGGGGAAAGGGAAAGTCCGCTGGGGATGCTTTTTTGCCCAAATGAAGATGTCGGACAAGAGGTTTAAAACAGTGCAGAAGGTGGTAGCGATCGGCTGTTTAATGGAGGAATGGATGGAAAGCTAACAGCTAGCCAAGTTAGAGAGGGAAAGACTAGAGTAAGAGAATAAAGAGACTTTGTGAATACCAGCAGCAAGTCAAGTTAGAGAAGGTGTGGAGGGACAGACTAGAGGAAGAGAATAAGAGACTTCGTGGGAAGGTAGCCCGCCTTTGTAAGAAGGTAACCGATCTGCAGGGTCAGGGGAGTGTGGACTTGGTACATATGAATCAGTACCAGATGCATTGTGAGATGCTGGTTAGGGAAAGGACTAAGCAAAAAGGAGAAGTCCAGACAGCTAAAGCTGAGGTGGAAGGATGGAAGCAAAAATGTAATGATTCAAAAGCCGCAACGAATGTGATTCAGAGAGCAGCTCAGGTCAAGAGTCGTAATGCTGCAGATCACACAAAATGTCAGAGACAGATAGAGAAGCTACAAGATCAGCTAGCCGTGCAGAGAGGCATGTGTGCCTTTGCATCTGAAAGAAGTGAGGAAGACAGTGAAGGGGACTTAGATTGGGACAATTTAGCAGGTGAAGCAGCTAGGTATGGTCATGATGACGGGAAGTCTTCACCAGAGGATCCACCACCAGCTCATGACTCAGGGTTGGAGACCCCGTCAGCTCCAGCATGGCCCCTGCCTTGTTACCGCTAGTGGAGGAATACGGGCAAATGGTCAGATAGTAGAGGGTGAGAGGGTAGTATATTTCACGCCATTGGGGGCTACAGCAGTTGAGAGACATGCACACCCGGGGACGATCTTAGGGAGCTGTTCCAAGTGGTCAGTCACCTGAGGGAAATACATGGTTTAGATGACACTGAGGAAAGAAAATTAATAATAATGTGCCTGCACCCACACATACACTTCGCCTTACCAGAAGAGAAGAGATTTGATAGAGGGACAACTGAGGCTTTAAAAGACCAGGTGTTAAATATCATGGGTGCTAACAGAGGGGACCCAGTGGAGGTACTGACAAAGTGCTACCAAAGAAAAAGTGAACACCCCAGCGCATTTACGGCATACCTTTGGGCAGTGTTTCAGGGGATATATGGTACAGCCTTAGACAGGAACAATTTGGAGGCAGAAGCTAGGAACCGATGGCTGAGAACACTGGTGTTTCATGGCGCTGAGGAGTCAAAGAGGGCATTGGAGCACTGATGACATGCACAGAGGCCTGGGTATTGAGAAAACAGTTAGAGCATGGGAAAAAGAAATAACAAAATTTCCCAAAACCTCTGGGGTATGGATGACGCCTGTTAAAGATCAGGCAACAATCTGGAGAAACAAAGGGACAAGACCTACTCAGAGGGCACCCGCTCCAGCCTATCCAACAGAGGGAATGTCTTGGGAAAAGGGAGAACTCAAAACAGGGTGTCCAGGTGCTACAATTGTGGCCAAGCGAGACATTTCATAAGAGAATGTCCGAATCCAAGACGTGAAAACGAGGATGCCAGTGCCTACCCATGAAAGAACCGAACTGATCCAACCCCCAGTGTGATGTGACGGAGATACTGCCATCTTCGGGTATGTACCCTGAACTGCAATGATGGTCGCAGGTCTCTCTGTTATGGGTATGTGACACGGGGTGGGTCAGAACAAGGAAGACCCCTAGTGAATGTTTTTTTTCCTTTATTCATTAACAGGGTGTGGGCATCACTTATTGCCCAGAGGGCATTTCAGAGTCAACCACATTGCTGTGAGTCTGGAGTCACATGTAGGCCAGACTAGGTGAGGATGGCAGTTTCCGTCCCTTAAGGACATTAGTGAACTAGATGGTTTTTTTCCCCAACAATCAACAATAGATTCATGGTCATCATTAGATCCTTAATTTCAGATATTTTATTGAAATCAAATTCCACCATCTGTCAAGGTAGGATTTGAACCCAGGTCCCCAGAATGTTATCTGGGTCTCTATATTAACAGTCCAGCGATAATACCACTAGGGCATCACCTCTGTCTATGGTAAGGTCGGAGGCTGCCCTGTCACATTCCTGTGGGACACTGCGGGATCCTGAACTATCATCAATACTACCCATGTTAATGACACAAATTGGAAAATTCAAAATAAAATCATTCTAAGCGGATTCACGAGACATTCATGAGTGGAACGTGTGAGTGTACCGTTGGAGGTTAGTGTGGGAGACATAGTATTAGAACATTCAGTAGTCCTTATCAACCTGCCGAGGAAACAAGAACATATCTTAGGGAGTAACTATATAGTCAAAGCGGGACTCTGTTTTGATCCCGTTAATTGCATGATTTGGCAAATGCCTGAAGGTATGAGGAGTGAAAACTGCACGCTTATGCCGGTGGGAGAATATCAGGACAGGATATGCACAGCTGGGGAAAAGTGGATAAAGCCAGGGGAGATGAGTGACGGTCACGAAGTGCAGCAACTCATTGCATGACACTCAGCAGTATTTGGCCCCACATAAACATGACTATAGGAAGATGGCTGGGAGTGCGTGTATACAGGGTCCAGACCCCAAAGACGTAGTATGGTTTTCCGAAGCAGGCAGAAGAAGAGGTAGGAAAGGTGGTACAGAGTCTGCTGCAGCAAGGGATACTGAGACCGGTAGCTTCCACTAACAATTCACCTATTTGCCCGGTGAGGTAGACTACAGAGCATTGAACAAGACCACCCTGTTAACAGCCCCCACCGTATCAACTAGCCCGGAAACAACAATCAAACAAAATGAGGATGCGCAAGAGTTCATGGTTTTGGACATAAGGAACAAGTTTTGGTCAATCCCACTGGACAAAGAGTGCCAACACAAATTCACTTTCCGAGTTTACTTTCCGAGGCCAGCAATATACATGGACCGCTCTGCCACAGGGATTTCATAGTTTCACCAACGTCTAAGACAGGGGTTAAAACGGTCCTCGAAACTTGAGTGTCTGGTGCAGTATGTAAATGACTTGTTTCTACGAACTGAAACTAAAGAGGAACATTATCAGCTGCTAAGTGAACTGCTGCAGCTGTTGCATGAATTGGGTTTGAAAGTAAACCCTAAGAAAGCGTAGATAATGAAACAGAAAGTGACTTACTTGGGAATGATTCTGTCACTGGGGAAAAGAGAAATTGACAAACGAAGGGAAGAGGTAGTCTGCAGATTCCTTGTTCCACGGGGCGTCAAAGGGTTAAGATCCTTCCCGGACTTGGTGGGATATTGCAGGGACCACGTTGACGAATTCACTACAAAAGCAGCTCCATTGATGGAGTTATTGAAAAAGACTGTGGCCTGGGAATGGAAACCAGAACACACAGAGGCCATTGCAACTCTGAAGCAAGCACTAGCTAATGCGCCAACTCTGAAAACCCCAAGTCCAAATGAACCACTTTCATTGGAGATTGCCACCACAGACATCACCCTCTCAGCAGTTCGGTTACAGGAGATGCATGGGAAATTAAGACTGTAGCATACGCCTCACGTATGCTCTCAACGGTAGAGCAGGGGTACATAGTATGTGAAAAACATCTGCCAGTAGTTTTTTGGGCAGTGCAACATTTTACCTACATAGTGGGGCTAAACCCAGTTACAATATTAACAGAACATACCCCCATACAACTACTGTTAAACAGAAGGTTTAAAGATGGTTCAGTTAGCCCAAATAGAATTGCTAGATGGACACTATTGTCACAGGGAAGGGATATCATTGGAAAAGGAGTAAAAGCCACCACCATGTTGGCAGACAACTTAGTGTATCAGGGGGAGAAACACAAATGTTAATTGATGATAGCAAATAGTCCCAAGGGCCCATTTGTGTTAAAACAAATGAGAGGGGGTAACATAGGGCCTGAAAGCAGGGAGGCAAAGCAAAAAGGAACGGTAGAACCCTATTTCAAAATTTTTGTGGATGGTTCTTCATTTGTACAGGAAGGAGAAAGGAAAACTGGGCGTGTGATATACATGGAGGATGGGAACAGACAGGAAAGATATAGTGTAGCCCTAAAGTTACCCAGAACCATGAGTGCACAGGCAGCAGAGTTAGCACCCGTTGCATTTGTGGTTGACCACCCAGAACTCTTTCCGACCGGATCAGTTATATACTCGGGCTGCATGTATGTCTGTAATAGCCTCACGGAATATTTGCCCCCATGGAAGGTGAGAGGATTTGTCTCAGCGGATGGAAAGCCCCTTACGTCGGCTCCACTGTTACGATACATCTTTGAAGGAGCACAAGGGAAAGGATATGGGGTCACAAAGGTAAAAACTCACTCAAAATTATGTCCCGGGGGAACAGGAAGGCTGATGAGTTAGCCAAACAAGGTGCTATAAAAGGGCAGGAATGGCGGCCACCAATTGAAGAAATCGGGGGCCAGAAGAAGAAACAAGTCGAGGTAATGGATTTAGCACAGGAGCAAAAGAAAGGCAAGGAATTGAAAAAAATAATAGAAGGAGCAGAATCA